GACTTCAACTCCCAGAATTCCCATGGCTGGCTGGGGAATTCTGGGAGTTGAAGTCCACGCATCTTAAAGTTGTCGAGGTTGAGAAACACTGCTTTAGAGAGTTTCCTTTTCCCCAGCTTGTTACAGCTGCATACCCTTACTTTCATTGAGCATGGGAAGTGGGTGGAAGAGGCAAAAAGACTTTGGTCAGTTGTTGTTGTTGTTGTTGTTGTTGGTCTGTTGTTGTTGTTGTTGTTGTTGTTATTTTTATCCTGCTTTTTTAAATATATTTTCGTCACCTCCAGGCGGCGAACATACCCAATATTCTTGCCTCCTCTTTTCCCCACCACAACAACCCTATGAGGTGGGTTGGGCTGAGAGAGAGGGACTGGGCCGAAGTCACCCAGCCGGCTTCCACACCTAAGGCAGGACTAGAACTCAGGGTCTCCTGGTTTCTGGGCCAGCCGTTTCACTGCTACGCCAAACCGGCTCCCAGTTTTACTCAGCAGGAGAAGCTTGGAGATCAACTATCCTCTGCTTTGCATAATGATTATTTTCCTACTGTGTTGTGTCTCTAAATATTCTGCTAAAAGCGATCTAATGTGAACGTATTCTAAATGTAGGTTTTAGAGCGCAGCTGAGGGGGAAAAAGCTGAAAGAGGACAAAGCTGGGAGTCCAAAATTAGAAGAGGAAACAGATGGGAGAAACCTCCCCTGTGCAACTCAGCCTCAGTCTGGGTCTCAGCAACAACCAGGATGGGCAGCAACCCAGAAGAGCGAAGAGGAACCCTTCTTTGGGGTGGAAGAGCGCTGGGAAGCCCAGTGGCAGCAGTTCCTCCAGACGCTGCAGCCCCCTCCCACCGGAGGGAAGAATCCGGTGATGTCAGAGGCTTCCCCCTGGGAAAACCCCAAGGCCTTCCTGGTCTCCTTTGAGCAGGTGGCCAAAGCTTGCCACTGGCCTAGAGAAGAATGGGCCGCCCAACTCTTCCCAGCCTTGAGCGGAGAAGCAGAAGAGGCCGTTCGGAAGCTGGAAATCCGAGAGCAGGAAAACTATGGCAAAGTGAAGGCCGCCATCTTGCAAGGGGAAGCCCTGAGAACGGAAACGCAACGCCAGCACTTTCGGCAGTTCTGCTGCCAAGAGGTGGGAGACCCCAGGAGACTCTACGGCCAACTCCAGCAGCTGTGTCTCCGATGGCTGAAGCCCGAGAGACGCACCAAGGAGCAGATCCTGGAGCTGCTGATCCTGGAGCAATTCCTAGCCAGCCTCCCACCTGACCTCCGGAGCTGGATCCGGGCGGGAAGGCCGGACACGTGTTCCCAGGCGGTGGCCCTGGTGGAGGACTTCCTCTCGAGCCTGCAAGAGGCCAAATCTGGATCCTGTCAGGTATGATCTGAATCCCAGAATTGACTGTACAGAATCTGGATCAGGCTTCTGGAATCACCTTGCAGTCACTGAGTTGCAAATGTGTTACATTCATAATACCCAAGTAAGGGTGAAAGCCCGCTTATTAAGTGAAATGCACAAAAAGTTTTTTTATTACAGTAGTCTTTTTTTCTTCTTCTTCATTTTGTACACAGCCATATTGCCTACAAGAACTGTTTCAAGGGGAGGTAATTCACAAGGCAGCTTTTCCAGCTGTGGGAAGGTCACAATATCATATGAGACGTTTAACGTCTTAGATATTGTTACGCAGCCTGACTGATCCTGCATAGCCTCTTGATGGGTGAGGGAGTGGCTGAGATTTCTTTCTACGGCAAAATCCACTTGAATGGATCTGCCCGTCTCCCTTTTTCAGGGACTGCTGAAGGAAGAGCCTGCGGATTTCGATCCTGCAGAGGAAGAACTCTTGGAAACAATGAAGAGACAAAGAGTTGAAATGGAGACCAGTTCGTTGGGTAAGGATTCCCAGGTCGACAGTCAGTGTATGAGTATGAGAAAAGAAGGTGAATATATAAGATCTTATATACAGGACTGGAGCATACAGCCCAGACCTCACCAGTCAAGCCATGAGCACAACCGATAGTTTTCTCATGTCTTTATTGGAACACATTCTACAAAGACTCATGTTCATCCACTGTAGAGAGCATAGGAAATGGCCTTGAAGGGCAGGAGGAAGAGCTGCTACCAAGGGAATGGTCAGATAAGCGGGGCCTGAGCCCAGGCCAAGGAAGTAACTTGAGAAAATGTCTCAGACAAGCCCCTGCCTAGTTCACACAAACATAAAATGAGGGAGGGGGAAGCACATTCAGACATGCAAGATTGATGTCAGATCTACAAGGTAGACCAGACTAAGAAACCAGTGCCACGTAGGTCAGGACTACCTTTACGGTAACAGCAATAGTAATTGAATCTTGCAACTCTGAATGTAGTCACCAGCTCCCATCACCAGGAGCATATAACACTGATTTTCAGAGCCTACACTGGTTAGTTTCTGAGTACAGTGGTA